GTCCTAACAGGGAAGAAACCCCAAAGCAATTCTGCATATGTAATTAAAATCTAATCAAATTAATGTTCTCTGTTGCCTCCAAAAGACAAGACTTTCAAAGAACTTCATTTTAGAAAAGGAAAATGAAAGTGTTAAAACAGGGATTTGTCGTAGAGCTGTGTCTTTCTTTATTCCCTCCCACAGAAAGACAAAGCTGTTGATGACCCTTTTATTCTACTGAATGAACAGAGAGTACCATAGACTGAATGCTGAAATTTTAAGTCTGGAACTGCTTTGAGAACATTAAAAGTTTGGCCAGACACACACAGTCATCAGTATGGTAACAAGAGAAAAAAGACCTGGTGCCAGTGCTCTGTATTATAAACACAGTAGAGTAATTTTTGCTCTTAAAAGTACAAACAAGATGGGAAACTCTAAGTGAGTTTGACATAATTAATTGTACTAAATTAAAATACAGGTGTGTCTTGCTTTTTTGAAGAAGTGGCCAACTACTAAGGAGCCCCCCGGTGTGACTAAAAAGACCAATACTCATTGTTATGCAGATAAAACAATGAGTAGTCTGTTGCATCTTTACTCACATATTATTATATATTATGTCTAAAAATAACACAGACATACTACAGTGCTTATCTACAGCAATTCTTTATAAAATAGAAGTGTTGTGAAGAATATTTGGGTCTTGTTGACCATTACTTCTAGCAGTTTGTCACAACAGCTTTAGCAGTTCATTTTGTTACTGCATCGATGTACTTTTAGAAATGTCAGGGTTTATTTAAGCAACTTTATTTTAATATTAAAAATTTCACTTACTGATTATTAAGTACCTATAAAAGTAATAATCTAGTTTGCATTATTTCACAGAATTATTTTCTCAAAAAATAAACTCACCAGTCTCTTAAAGATCAAAAGCAATAAGAAAATAAAATCAGCATATCCATTACTCTTACACTAAAAAAAGTCCCACTGTTTGAGAGAAGCAACAATTTAAACACCAACGGTAATTCCATCGGAAATTATGATATTTTCAACAACTACAATTTTGGTAAAAGCCATTAACAGTTTAACATCAAGCCAGCAGACACCTTTTCCTGGTATATTGTGCATAAATAGTATTCCCATCTGTTTCAATGTTCTGGGTTTTTCATGGGCTTAAACCTGTCAAATTATTCCACTTGATTTCAGAGAATTCTCATATGGCAATCTATTTTATTTACTTTATCTTCAATAAAATGGTTGAGTGAGCATTAGCAACTATGAGACACAAGTTTCAATCAGTCCTCTGGCAAAGGCGTCAATCTACATTAGACCTACTATGCTGTGAGCTGCAGCCAGAAAGCTGCAGTTAGACAGGGCAACAGTGAATGAGTGAGTGAAACCTAATAAAGCAGCAGTGAAGAGAGAGAAAATTCCCCCTAGACACTGCCATACACTGCTTATATAATATGTGTGCCTAGTTCAACACACCAGTAGCTCCTTAATAAAGCTGACAGCTAAAAAGGAGCTTCAGACTCCAACTTCATTTTACATGACAACTACAGTAATGGTCCTCTGTTCTCGAGCAGGCCACATTTAGAAACCTAAATTCAGTTCAGTTAAAAATTAACAGTTCTCACTTTTCTCATTCATGTCACACAGAAAAAAGAAATCATAAAATTATTAGGATTCACACCATCTTCTCATTTCATACAATTATTCGAAAAAACACCAGATTTCATCTATTTTTTCCTTAAAAATTTCTGTCCTAGAAACCACAAAGCAATCAGTGCATTTAAGCAATAACTCATTTCTGAAGACACTATCATTAAGGTCTGATTCCAACAAATATGGGGGCATCACTCCTAGATGCCATCAAAATATATCCCAAAGCACAAACTTTGTATTAAGTGATCCAAGTTCACATTTGATATAAGCTCTAAAAAGTAGATTATTGTAATAGTGCTCTCCACAGCAAATCAGACCATTAAGACTGTACTTAATGTTTAACTGAAAAGAAAAGCTGTCCAGTTTAAATCTATAATTTATATTACATATAATCATAGCAAAAATGTACTGCATCATAGTTAGACTTCTTTGTAGACAAAGTTAATGTCAAACCATTCCCCAGCTGACGGAAACATCATATGTTTCACATGTTGGTCGTCAACATGGTCACCAGCAATGAGACCTTATACAACTCTTGAAAGAATTTCAGTTCAGCTGAAAGGAAACTATATGAGATATTCTTCTGTACTAATCTAACAATATGATGATGCTTGCCCTATGCAAAATAAGCATATATATATATATACTGAATATTTAGTAGTATATAAAATGTGTACATGTACAACACATGGACGAGTCATGATGTTTAAAGTTCTGTAGTAGCAGAAAGAAACAGGAATGAGCACAATCTTCTCCAAACTGCCAACACAGAAGAGTTAGATCGATTTAAAAATAATTAATACTAGGATTTATTTAGCGCTTTTTTTTTAAAGCCTAATTAACTCAGAAAACACAGATGTCCCCCAAACTGTCCATTTAAATCAGCAGTAAAAAACTAGAACATTTTTCTCTGCTTTTGCATTTTTCCAATATGGATTTTTGTCTTGGTTTCAGTTTTTCCAACTCTAATTCAGTTTTTTAAATCTTATTCCTAAACAGTTAAGTGCCTCATTGAGAGGACAAAAAGCAGACAGAATTTTTCTCTCTGATAATTAAAAATGTACTCATAAATGAAATTTTATTTTATGCATATCTATCACTACATTTATGTCCAAATCTCAAGTTTCAATCAGTGCAAAGACACCATATCCTGCCCTAAAAAACTATCAATTCTCAATGACATACTGAAGAACTAGAATTCAGAATGTACTACTGTTTCCTCACAGACTACAAAAACATTCCCTCTCCACTTTCACATACTTCAAGAAATAGAGGCCAATGCTAAAAAGGCCAAAAAGATTTTGGCTTTCTTTACAGAAAGGATTTTTATAGATTGTATTTAACTTAAAGATATAGAAGAAAATAATAGAGTAAACATAATAGCAGCTACTTTCCCTCATATGCCTTAAGTTTCAGACATACTGGAATTCAATAAAATTATAGTGCCAAACTATTATAGATGTACAAGTCATTATTACTGCATTTCTGACATTATTTGGTACAGAACGTAGTAAACTTCCAGAAAAAATATCCTTTAAAAAATAAAACTCTCCTGCTGGCTCAACAGATTTCAACTACTACACAGTTTCTAACAAACCAAACAGTTTGCCAAAATACTGACACTGTCTATGAAGAAACTATCTAACATGACTGTGTACAATTTACACCATTCAGATGTTTACAAATATGTGACAGAAATCCAGACATATTTCCATTGCTACACAGACAGCAAAAAATCTGTTTATTACTGTTTTCTCCATTGGGTAATGAAAGGAAAAACCACTGTTTTGCAAATATATTACTACATACTAACATACAGTCAAAAAAAATTTGCATATGATGCCAATAATATCTAGTTTCCCTGTATAGTGCTGTATATCCTTTGATTTACAACATTACTACAGCTAAGCTTTCTTCTTTTTCTGGTTTCACCGTATTCATACTGTACCCTTCTGGCCAGTATCTTAAGTCCTCAGAAGAAGGTGAAGCTAAATCGGAATAAAGGAATTTTCCTTTCTTATTACCCAGTGAGTAAAGACAGTCACAGTGAAACACATACCAGGACAGTCTTGTTTTGCACTACTTTGAATTAGGTTAAAAAGGTCTGTGCTTCCTCCCCGAGGGTGAACCTTTAAAAAACTTGTTATAAACATAGTTTCAGAACTAATTAATGTCACCATCATTAACTCCTCTGAAACTACTTCATCTTTTTTGCCCTTCTGAGGCATCAATACATTAAGATGGATATATCAACATTATGGAGCATCTCATAATGCCTTAGCAGTCACTGCACATGGCACATAGGGAAACAATACATATTTACTTCAGAAACAGTGGTGTACATAGAAGCAGTTGGGTCCCTACTATGATGAGTAAGTTTTTTGTATCCTGTTGAAATCTGCATCTATAAAATTTAGTAACAGGTGTAGTTGAGCATATTTTGCAATTTATATGGTAAAATATTGCCTTAAAATTTTGAATTTGGAAAATTCTGGGAATATTCTGAAAAAATTTTATACTCCTGTAGAAAAAGTAAAATGTGAATGACTGCAACACTCAATACATAGATTAATTCTTTGTTGGAATAGAAAGTATGAAAAACCTGAAATAAATGCGACTGGTTTGCTAAACTTTCATCTTACACAAATTCCTTCCAAATCTCCTTTTCCTGACCTCTCTAAGTTAAAAAGACCTGGTAGTTGTACATGATTCACTGAAGATAGCTGAGAAGGTCTGGAGCAAAGCCTGCCAAGTCCACTACACCCACTAATGGTATGGATTCACAGGCAGATTCAGCCTGTTAACACACAAAGCAGTTGAAACAAGATTTAAACTCATGGTCCTTGACACCCTGGAATATTCTTGGTTACCAAAGGAATAAAGATCATCCCAGTTTCAAGAAACTAGGAATATCCAAACTCAGGGATTCTTTACTATTTAATCTTGCCTTTTAAAATTTAAATTTATTACAAGAAATACAGACTAAAATCACTTTTTAAACAAATTAGCCTAATTATTATACTCCTAATGCAGCTAATGTAAGGAAACTATACAGTGAAACTTAACTCCAGAGTTCCAGAGACCTTGGTCAGAGAACCACGTTTTTATTTATTTTTATAGCAGAGCTGAAAAACCATGTAGGGAAAGCCTAAATGACTTAAATATTCCCTGCTATCTAGTCATAACACAAGCAGTCATGCATCTCAGTGAATCAGGGGAAGCAGAGACCAGCTAGTTGAATATGAATTGGTAAGCAAGAACAGCAATTCCAGAAGAAAAGCATGTTGCAAAAAAAAAAAAAACAAACCAACAAAAAAACGAACAAACTGTAAGATTTGTAATGTTTGACTTGTACTCACCTGCTTCTTCTAAGACTCAAAAAGACCTTTTAACTTCAACCTTGAACTGAAGCGATGTCCAAAATCAATTCCAGTACCACCATCCTGACAAAACAGAGAGAAATGTTTACAGCTATTTAGACATCATTTAATGAAAACAACACAGAATCTGGCATTATCACTCCCTCTAATTAGTGCCAGATGTGCATATGCTGATTCGCAAGTACTCTGAAAGAAAAAGGAAGGAGGTGTAATAATTAATTTTTTGATTCTGACATAAAGCTGGTTGAAAGACCAAGCAAGTTGGAAGAGAAAGATCCTCTTAACAAATAGTCAGTTTAAACGTAGTCCACAAGAAATATAATTGTTCACCAAGTTTCTGTCTTGCAGTAGAGTGACAGTTAAGGCATCACTCAAATTCTAGTCTTATTATTTTTATTCTATTTTTATTATTATGGTACCCAAGGGCAAACAAAAGGAAGGCTTCCCTGAAGTAGTTTGATCCAGACAGGGAACTGCACACAATATCACTAAGTTCACAGGGTCATCTGAAGGAAGAAACAGAAGATGGGAGACAGCATGCCAATGAAATTTAAATGTATACACATTTTAGGAAGGACAAAAGGACAAGCAAAAAGAAAAAAAAAACAGCTTTGAAGCTGAGACTGGAAGACTGCAACGAAGAGAGAAGGTTGGACAAGGCAGAAGAAATAAAGAACATGCAGGTCCACAGAATATTTAGATTATATCTATGCCTGAGTACATTTCTCTTTCCTGAAATCAACGTGCAGAGATAAACCTACATCTATGCTAGTATGCTCACATATGCTCTGAAACAGAGGGGCTGCATACAAATCGTCTAATGGAGATGGTCAAATAAATGTCTGGGAATTTTCTGGACCAATGTTAGTTTGCAAAAACCTAAACGATGGCAGAGACCTGGAAATATTTCCAAGCATTGCTTTATTTACTAATACAGACACAGACTTAATGCCTGAAACTCTGCTACCTCTGAAGTAGATCCTACCAGCCTCTCGATGGTGCCTCTTGGCAATTCTCTCTTGCTGACAAGGTCAGACAGAAGCATGCTGAAGAGTAAAATGAATGTAGAATTTTATAAAGAAAAGACTGCTTTCCCACAGTTTAAGAAAAAAAATCTGTGTTCCAACTGGCATTATTAATACAGACTTTGTTACAAGATGTTTGGCCATTTAAAAGAGCTGCAGTTCTAACTTCTTCCTTTGTTTGTAGAGTGTAACAAAACCTGCTGGGAAGGTCGAAGTTCCTAGAAAACTAAAAGCTACCTGGCAGCCTCTGTAGTAGAGCAAGTGAAGAAGGAAGAGCAAAGAATGACAGGCTGGAGGAATAAACACTACATGAAACCCCTGCACAGTAGGACAGCATTGGGAAATGAGAAGGAAATCTTATGAGCCCTTAATACAAAGCAAAAAAGAGAAGAAAATGTTAAAAACAGGTAAGGTTCCTAAGGCAAATATGAGGAGGTGAAGGTGGGTGGCAATTCTTAAAAGTTGTTGGAAAGTAAAATACATGTCAATGAAACTTTGCTTGATGGTCATGTGGTCACCCTGTATCCACAATGGAAATGTCTAACCAATTGAGAGAAGCATTCACCTTACTGTCCTATTTCCCATTAAAAGATTGCAACTTTGAATCTTTGAAGCTTCTTGTGCACCTGAATTCTAGACAGAAAGACACATTACAGTTATTTCTTCAACAATATCTGTTATGTTAACATATAAGCCTCAAACATGAATATTCTGTATTTCTCTTTTTACCTATATTTCATTATGCCAAAATACTTTCAAATCATCAGGTTTTTTAGCTCGGATTATATGAAACATAACATTTTGCCTTCACCTCAGAAATAAAGTCAAGACAATCATAGTTATTATATATGAAATCTTACATCAAAACATGACCTATTTTGTTGAGATACAGCCTTCTTAGAAAAAATGTTTCATTATAACATTTTTTGGTAATTATTCCTAATATGAAAACAACCATAATCATTAGTCTTGATGATTAAAATTTTATCTTTGGTCTATTTTTGGATTTCTATACTTTTTCAGAAGTCAGTAAGAAATATTCAACATGGTGAGGATAGCACAAAGTAGATGTGACAGATATGTCACAGACAGATGGCAGGTCTTACCTATCAACTTTCTTTTCACCAATGTAAATATTCACCTTTGGAAACTTATATTTTGACCTATGTTTCATTTATGCTACATTCCATTGTGGTTTACCTGACAAAGGCAGCTGACTCTTAAAAAAATCATATTACTTCTGTTATAAACATTGATTTTTTTTATTTTTATTTGCATCCTTAAACCTGGACCTGAATCATTCGAGTTATTCCAGTTCAACAATAAAATTTCTCTACCTTTCCTCTACCTGAGCCAGCACGTTCCATACCTTTGACCCCAGCAGGTAGATCTTTAATGTCACTGTTTACCTATCCCATTCTGACAGTGTTTACAGAGATATGTTTTCCATTCTTCAATATTTAATTCAAAATGAAAGCCAGATTCATTCCTGGATGAAGACTTTCCTTTGAAACTTGACTTAAATGAACACAATGCCTGTGTGCTGCAAACTATTTCCTTTAACTCATTCCATTACTCGCTGCAATCATCTCTTAGCTTATTTTATGTTAGATCACAGATCATTAGGATAAGTTTACCTGTTATACATTTGAATTCTGCCGCTATGACAACATTATGATTTGAGACTACATGGTCTTATTCATTATCCTGCCTTATTGGTGACTTTTGATATTTTTAAAAATGTAAATAACCCCACCAAATTGCACTACAGCACTTGTGCAGTTCTACTGTTCAACAGATCAAGTTATTATGATGTCTCTATTTCATGTAAGACCTACTTGTTCACTTATCTTCTATAGTACAAATGGTTCAATCTGCATTTCTGCTTTAAGTAGGTATTTGTATAAAATATTCCAATGAAGCACTACTCACCAAGCATTCAGGAAAATTTTAGAACATTGTTGAGGGCTATCTATATAAGATACACTTGTTTTGAATCAGATAGATTGAGCCAAAGACACAACTGGTTTCAGTAAAGCAAGAATTACTTGTTAGAGGGACTATTATTTTAAACACTCACTGGTATCAGTAGCTTCCATCTTTCTATCGTATAGCACTAACACAATTGAAAACAAAAGTCTTAATGCGTAACAAGACTTCTAAGCGAGTCATAAATTGCACTACGTCAATGGGACATGCTGAATTTTATTTGAAAATAAATAATTGACACAAAACGGGTAATGTATATCTTCTAAAATAACGAAAAAAATGTGTAAAGTTACTTAATAAGCAAACTATGCATTCTTAATTACACTTAAACTACTTCAAGACATTTAACTTACACTACAAAAAATATGCATTTTTAAAGAATATTATGGAATTACAGTACAGCAAATAGGTTAAAAGGACATTTCTTCCTGATTCCAAGTTCTGTTAGACAATTCCTGTCTAACAGAAAAGATACTCAGAAGCTCACACCAGATGAGCACTACTGGATGCCATTATAATTAACAAGAACATGCAAAATGAATTAGTAGTTATCATCAGTCCAAAGCTAAATGAGCCTATGAAAAGACCTTCATACTACTGTGATCGCATTAGCCAATTTTTACATACTGCTACACATTACTACTTAGACAAATGAATGCTGGATTAGGTTATTATTGTGCCCAAACAGAAGTTCTGTGATGGTGGGAGAAGCAAATATTTTTTCACCTGGAATAGAGAAAATAATAAACTCCTGAATGCTTCTTGAGCTGTCAACTTTCCCCAACTACATATTTCCCAAATTTTTCAACAAATGCTATGCACTAAGAAAAGTTATAATTACATTATATACCACAAAAATTATTCTTGAATTTTTACAACATGGAATTTGCTAAGCAAAACACCTATACTCCATTAATCCAGACAACATGTAACTGGGCGAACAAATAAGCCAAGGATAATAATAAAATTTACAAAAAAATCATTAAAAATTTACTATTAGATGTCCAGTGACAGAAGAAATGTCAGCATGGACTAAATACATCATCTGCTTCCAGTATGTACCATTCACTGTGTAACTGATGCACATGTTACATATAACTCCTCTTGGGGGAGAGAGGCTGGTTGGGATGTTGTTCCTTTTAGGTCTTACTTATCCTAAAGATTAATAGGACATTGATCACATGTACTTATCAAAGCACACTGGAGAAAATGGAGACAGTACCAATGAATGGGAAGCTTGGAGCAATGGAAAAATCATCCCTCCTCACTCTTTTCTTCCAAAACCTCCACAGTATCACTGTCTGAATGGTTGGGTATACAGAGTAAACCACCCCTGAGGCAGGTCTAACTAACCTGTGCTGACACTAATCTTTTAACTATGCACGATACCAATATCATATCCATGGAGATTCCTGAACAATTTATCCAATGTGCACAGATACTGTGCCTTACTTTCTCTTCAGGCATGTCTGTCTTTTGAAAACACATATTTTTTTGTAAGACAGTTCAGAGGAAAACCACTTTTCATTTGTTGAATTTTCTTATTATAATAAACTGCAAGAGCCTACAGTAATTGAGGGAGAAGAATATAAACAAACATGAAAATAATTAACTATTCCTAAATACTTTGTTCTACAATACCACAAATATAATGACACTGCAGTCTTCTGAAATATTTCCAGAATTACAATTTGTTTCTCCCTTTTGTGATGTGATTAGAAGGGATTCAAGAATACTATCAGATTAGAATGTAGAACAACTTTAAAAAGTATTATTTCATAAGAGCACATACATGGTGATCATCCTGGGTTGTGTTATATATCTAGTTAGTTCTTATAAGAAGTCAAAAAGCACCTAACCCTTCTGCCATGATACATGCACCACATCACAGATTCTTCCACTCACATTGAGTAGCTGACTGGTAAAAACTGCTTAAAGCATTTGAATTTAGACTGGGTCACTTAGGACATCAGACAAATGCACCCTCAAAACTTCCAAAAAACGGAATTCCACAACCTGGTTTCTCTAGGCAACCATTTCTGTTGCATA